TTAAATTTCACTTAAACAGTAACGAATGCAAGAATGCACAGTGCCAAAATCTAAACGTGTAAAATAAATAAGAGAGGAGAGACAGAGCTACCTGGTCTGTTAGCGACCCCAGCTCCTTCAGTCCTCTACTTTATGCACATCCCTATTTATTTTGAATGCCAAAGATGACTTACGAGCTGATGGATAGAGCTTCTGCTTTCTCGCCTCTGGTATCCAAAGAGAGACTCCTTTCTCCTTTCTCCTTTCTCCTTTCTCCTTTCTCCTTTCTCCTTTCTCCTTTCTCCTTTCTCCTTTCTCCTTTCTCCTTTCTCCTTTCTCCTTTCTCCTTTCTCCTTTCTCCTTTCTCCTTTCTCCTTTCTCCTCTCTCTGTTTCGGTCTTTTCTCTCTTTTCTGGTTTTCTGCACCTTCCTTTTCTCCTCTCTCTGTTTCGGTCTCTTCTCTCTTTTCTGGTTTTCTGCACCTTCTTCTCCCCTTGTTTGCAGATTTTATTTGCAAAAAATGGAGCAAAGATCGAAATGCAGTCCTTGCTTCTTTCTTGTTTCACTTCTTTTTTTCCATCTTTTTTCTCTTCTTTCTCATCTACTGCCTACCTTCCCAATCTCATAGTAACATTGGTAAACAAAAGAAACTCCTTCTGTTCTCTACGGGTTTTTTTCTTGCGTACTGCTTACCTCTCTTTCGTATTTATCTTCTCCCTTTTCTTTTCTCCCGCCCCTTCTCTCTAAGTCATTAGAGGGGGCTTATATATAGTCTAATAAATCTCTATTTAGAAAAGATTCAATGCATTAATTCTAGGATGCAAATTCCTACTAATTTACTGTAAAAAAATACAAATGAGAAAACTACAATATTCTCATTGATTATGTGCTGATTCTAGTGATTTCTTTCCAACATTAACACATCATCCCAGCCATCCATGTTAGGGACAAAATCCCATCCTTTAGATGATGGAGAGGTTTTTCTCTTTATGGGATTTTGCAGCTGTCAAAAGTTGTTGTTTCCTATGAATTATAACTGCACAAAAAGTGATATGCAAATCCAAATCCACCAAGAGAAACATGGAAAACTAGCAGGAAATTTGCAAAGAAAAAGAAAAAAAATCAAATGGGCAAGGGTGCATGCTTCAAAGTCTTATTTTCCTTATTCGAGTTTTAGAAATCTCCTCATTTATGATGATGTAGCCCCATTCCAGCTTCCAATATCCTTCTTCAATTAAATCCCTTATTTTAGCACTTTTCAATTCAGTCCTTGTTAAAAAAATCCTCCAAATCAAGCTTGCGAACTTAGGCTAAACCTTTCTCGTGACAGGAGTCTTTACTTTCACATTTGATATTCAAATCAGAATATCTTGAGTTTCTGGTATTGAAATCAAACAATTCCATATTTCAAATTCATCTACGCATCTAGGACTACAACTTTGATGAAGGATTCAGAATAATAAAAAATTGTTTTAGAGAACAGAATCTGGCAGCAATCTCGTTGATCAAAAAGAGTCTCCTAATCTGATTCAGAAACTGACAACACCGAGCATCCTAATATGACTGAGAGTATGACCTAACAAAAAATCAATAAAATTTGTGATGGAAATAAAGTTTTTAGTGCAAAACTCAGTTCAAGATCCTTCTCGCGGCAGAATTCTCTACTTTCACGATAGATATTCAAACGAGAATATTATGATTTTTTGATATTAAAATCAAGCGATTCAAAAATCCTAAATTCATCTATACTTGTAGAGCTACAACTTTTATGAAGGATAAAGAATAAGATAAATTCATTTCGAAGAACAAAATTGCAACCAAACTCGGCTGGAAAACTTCTCATTGTAGGATTCTATGCTTTCACACTAGATTTCAAACAGGAATATCTTAAGTTTGTGATATCGAAATCAAGCAATTCAAAAGCTCAAATTCATCTACGTGTCCCAGATTACAACTTTAATGAAGAATTTGAAGTGAGATAGAATTGTTTTAGATAACAGAATCTAGTAGGAATCTGGTTGGTCAAAAAGGTTTTCTTGATCTGACAATACTAAGCATCCAAATCTGACTAGGAGTATACCATAAGAATAGTGACCTTAGGACCCAATAAAGTTGTATGTTAATTTTTCAACATATCATGAGTGATAGAATAAAGTTAGGATAGTCAGATATTATACGAAACTAAGTCAGAATCAGAGCCTAAGTTGAAACAAAAAATCCCTAAAAAAAAAGCAAATTTTGAGGGATTTATATGAAGACTCCTTATCAGCCTAATAAACCTGATGCTTTTGAAAGCAAAGGGGGAGGATAAAAAAGAATAGAAAAGAGCACAAATAGGGTTCGAAAAAATATTTCTTTCTCCTCCACTTTTGTCAATTTTTCAGCAAACATGAGCTACACTCTTGCATTTGGTTCAAAAGGGGTACATGTCATTTTCAGCACATGAGGTCCAAAAATAAGCAACAAGACTATGTATATGAGAGGGAATAACAGCTGTTGTCGTAGCAAAGGGAATCATGACTGCATTGATGTTGGGAGAAGAAGTGTTGATGTTGGTGTTGGGAGAAGAAGGGCTAACAATGGTGCTAGCTGTAGCAAAAATTGAAGGATCCATATTGCAGAAGGTGAGTAGAAAACAGAAGCTGACAGCAGATAAATTCAGCGAAGCCGAAACAGTCGCAAAGAAACAGCAGAAAAACTTTGTTTATGGAGAATCAACGTTGCAGAGAAACAGTAGCAATCAGAAATTGTTGTTAATGGAGGAAAAATGAAATTGTTGCATAGAAGCAATAGCAATACAAATCAATAGAAGCCATGTCATTCGAAGAAGAGTGTAACGGAGAGGCAAACTCAAATCTGTTAAGATAAATCGGCTCTAATACCAAATTAAAATAAAATTTGTGATAATTAAGAGACTGACTTAATAAGATAGTCACATCTACTATTTATATGATTAGGATAGTACATGTTATACGGTGTAGCATACTAAATGATAAGTCAATACATTAATAATACAATATATTCAATTCTAACACACATTTGGGGAAAAAAATCATGCAGTCCAACGGTTTTTTGATAATCTTTTACTTAAAAATTACCACTCAAGCTTTTTATTTATTTTATTTTATTTGGTAGCAAAAGCATCTTCCTCTTGATATGGAAAGTCCATGGTTGAATTCATAATAAAAAAAAGTACATGAAAATATTAGAGATTCACGATAAAACATACCACATATAAAAAGATAATTGGATTTATAATTGAGATGCTATAATCTGATGGATATTAAAATAAATTTCCCCATTGCCGTATATTTACGAAGAATACATTTTTTAAATTGTTCCAAAAAACTAATCTTGATTAACATAAATTAATGTAAAAATATTATTTATGATAGAATACAAAAATAAAATTAAGGGGCGATAGGCTCTATAATGATAATCGCGAATAGTTTCTACGTTGCCTTGCGCTTATGACTAACTTTTTGGTGATAGGCACATTTATGGGTAGTTACAGGTTTAGATTATTGAACTGGCTATGGAAATAGTTGCAAACTAGCTATTTGATTTGAGCAAATAAAAATGATGTTTAGTCGTATGTATGTATGTATGTACGTACGTATGTATGTATCTGTCTATGTATTCATGGATCTTAACGTAAGAGTTCGAGACTTTTGAATTGAATGTTTATTTCACATAGAATCTCATGCCATCGTGTATCATGTTGCAGTTGGGAGAATCCATGGTTTGAAGAACATGATACACGATGGCATGAGATTCTATGTGAAATAAACATTCAATTCAAAAGTCTCGAACTCTTACGTTAAGATCCATGAATACATAGACATATACTATATTG